GCATTTTTTTTAAATGGCGGGTGCGGCTTATAGTCCGGTGCGGCTTAAATGTTGATGTTAGCGCATTTTTTTTAAATGGCGGGTGCGGCTTATAGTCCGGTGCGGCCGAAAAATACGGTACTATAAAAAAATGAACTGTCTGGATTGAACGACTGAGGTATGCTATTTTGATTTAACATACACAGGAAAATAATATTAACAGCATATTCAAATATAATCTGACTCCCACATTGTCTGTATCTCTCACAAAAAGTTGCTCAAAATTATCTTGTGTCCACAAGGTAATAGCTTGTGACAACACGTTATCTCATGCCACACATTAATTTTTTTAATGTCACTGGATGAGCTCCGTACTTTACAGTAATAGTTATATTAGTTTTTTACATGATGAAATTTTATAGAAACAGTAAATTATTTGAGTTACTGTTGAAATTTCACTGAGTATTTCTGAAATTACATGTTGCACCTGAATGCATCATGAAGACAACATCTACATGTGTTGCAAGAAAACTTTTCTTTTTAGCACCACATTGCGTAATCATCACAAAGACTGGATAAAGCATGACTTCATGTTTTATTCAAGCTGAAGGTCTTTACACACTTTGACTCAAACTCTAAATGGTTGATTTTAAATCGACTCTTTTTTACCCGAAACATTAAAAAGGTATCTGCAGAATATAGAGGTGCACAATTCAGATTTATTCAATAGTTTTGAAGAGTTGTTCTAAAAAGTCCACATATGAGATATGTGGGGGCAGATTAACAATGGAAGTCCCCTTCAGCAGATGATAGCTGGAGGTCTTGAACTCCATCTGTGAGAGGAAACTCGCCTGAGGAATGTGTGTCCTTTTGGTAATTTTGTGATTTTTTTTTCTTATTCTTCCATCTTTGTTCAAGGTTGTTTAAGTGAACCCTTTCCTGTAAAAAAAAAACATTCATGCAGATCCATCACTGAAAAGACATGTCAATTATTTGCATATTAAGAAGATAGAAAACAGCTTTGGGAGATTATGTGTTACGTCGGTTGACAAATTTCCGCTCACAGTGATGCAGATAGTATTAAAAGGACAGCGGTGACTGCGTTTAAATGTCAGAACTACAAAAACACACTTTGG